GTGGACACGCTTTGCAAGATAAATTCATCTTGTGCAAGCCGGTTTTGGAGGAGGGAATGCAAATTGATTTCTTCTTTAAAACGGAAAATCAGAACAGTTTAGTTTTGAAATTGGACGGAACTGTGATCTTACTGGTCGTTTTTTTGACACCGGCTTTGGTTTCATCGTGAACATCTTGACCTTGAAAGACGCTGCTGTTCCCGCGGTTCTTTATCACACATGTGATCTGAGTTCCGCGGAGAGCATTTTCAAGAACGGTCCCGGGCGGTTACCCGAAGTCCACGGGCCCATGTGCACGTCAACGCCATAGGAGGCCTGGATGCGAAAGCTAGCGGGAACTCAAGCCGGAGGGCGCGGCCCGTCACGATGCATTCGACACGGAACTCATGATGCAGGATGGTATCAGGTCAGTTCGTTCAACAGCGACGAAGCATTCATGTCGGCTGACTGGGTGGGGAACGCGTACATGATCTATGCGTTCACCAGGAAGAACGAGTACCTGTTCTTCACGGGCCTATCCGGAGTTGCAAGAGGTACCGCGCGACGCTGACAGCGGAGCCCACTCCCGGACCGCAACACGTGAACCCGTGTTTCTTCAAGAGCGAGAACACTCTGACGGCGGAGAAGGCATAGAGGCACTGGCAGAAGGTGGTCGACGGCACCAGGGATGGCAAGCTGCTGCCCGGCGCTGTCACCGAGATCGCCACTGTCGACGAGCTCGCGAAGGGGCAGGGGCGCGGCTAGAGCAACCTCCGCCAACGCTACAATGATGAAGGACCCAATCGTCAAAGGCTGGAACAGGAGGCGCGGCCACTCGCAAATCGACGGCTAACTCCTGTGCCAAGAGTGCCGCTCGGACATGGTGGAATGGACCGACGCGAGGAAGTCTGCCTGAGCACACGGCCGCCCTTCTATCTCGAGGATGGTGGCAAGTGGATCCGGTCCAAGCACCATGCGAAGGAGGGAGACAAGAGGGAGAAATCTCCGTCGTGGCATCGCTCAGCAAGACCAAAACTCACCTCACAAAGGCGCAAGGTATGGGTTGCACAAGGGTGTCTGATCGCTTGTCCATCGACCCCTTTTACGCCTACAACTGCGCCACCCAGGGGATGACTCTGGAAAGCTTGAACGGTCGGATTTCCCGAGCAATTGTGGCGGACCCTGGCCGCACGAGGGAGCAGCGTGACAAGACAAGGGGGGCTCTCAGAATACGGGGACCAAGCTAGTGTTCATCCCGCCCCCAGCAAGCTCAACCCTCACAAGCTGAATGTCTCGACAGAGGCCTATATCGCTCACCATGCACCCACCCACCCACCCCCACCCACCCACCCTCCCCCTGCCTCCTTCCCTCCCTCCCTCCCTCCCACCCTCCACCCACAGACACACACACACAACCACATTTTGTATGTATATGTATGTATTTGCATAAATGGGCTGTCCCCCCCTCCCAAATGATGGGTTTTCCTTTTGGTTTCCCTTTAAAAACCATTCCAAACTCCAAAAAGAGACGAGCCGCCGATACATCTGTATGCATATATATATATATACACATACATTTGCCCGTATTTTCTGTTTGCACCAAAAATCATGAGACTGGCGTTTCCTGGACCCTTTCCCCCCACACTCCAAGCTCCGCCAAGCTCCGCGAAGCTCCGATCCTCGGCGTGGGAGGTCTGCGGATCTTGACCGAGATCTACCGATGCTCGCGGGAGCTGTGGCCGGAGGCGGATCGATCCCATGGCGCAAGAGATCCGCTCCAAGGGCGTGGGATGGAACCCACCCAGCTCGCTGGATGGATCTTTTTTTTTTTTTTTTATTTCCGGGGGGGGGGGGGGGGGGGGGGTCTGGTGGACCAAAAGGAAACCAAACAGGTTCTTTGCATCATTTCTTTTTAATGGAAGCCTTCGATCTATTTTCCTTTCGGTTGTCATGTCGGGTGGTTCCCGCCCTTGGTTACCTGTAGAGGTAAATTGATCCGGAAATAGGAAAGCCAAGCCGGTTCCCGGCTTCCTTTTAGTTTTTTTCTTTTCTTGTAGGGTTTAGCTTTCATTTTACCCCACTTTGGGGAACACCAACAGGAGGATTTCGGGGGGTCTAGGGTCAGTCAAATGGGTGTATCTTGAAATGGGGGACCCCGCAATGACTGGGTGGCTTTCCTTTTGGTTTCCCTTTACCACCTACCAAGAGCAGGGTAGCGAGCCTCCAAAAAGAGACACCCATAAGTGTCGGAATAGGGGTACCCTGAAAAGACACAAAGAGCCTTTGTCTGTTCTTCTACCTGGTCCCTCCCAAAGGAATCAAATTCTACTCATTCAGGATCCTTAGGCCTCATGGCCTGAAGACGAAGGGTAACCAGTTCCTTGGTTACCCGTGGCTTGCAAACGAAAAGCGACGAATGAGCAGAACTCACAAGCTAAACACAGCTCACAGCTAAACACATGCTCAGATTTCCATGGGAAAGAAAGGGCATCCGTTTTCGGTTGGTTGACTTTAAAGGGGA